CCAGGGCAGGGGGCAGAGGGGCGGGGCAGAGGGGCAGGGCGGGGCAGAGAATTCCGATCGGGTGCTTAAGGAACACGGAGGAATTCCAGGACTCCTGGGTTCCCCTCCCATCTCCCTGCATGACTATGGGCAGGTCACAGAATTGGTGTGTGACTCAGTTTCCCCTCTCCACTCTGGCCGTATCTGTCTATTTTGACTGTGAGCAATGTGGGTCGGGGATAGGCTCTTACACACATTGGGGATTTCGCTGTGGGTGTGCTGACCTCAGGGGCCTTGGAGTCAATCCACAGTGACCCAGCTGGGTTATGATCTCAGTAACAAACTCTTTTATTTTTGGCATCTGCGACTGAGGAATTTGCCCCTCAGCATTTCCTGAGCTGTTAGTGAGAAATCTGGCTTTGTCTGGTCTCCCCATATGCGTCCCCTCCCTACATCACGGGTGGGAGTGTTTTCCAGGGAAACCGAGGCGCAGCTCGGAAATGCGTCGCTTTCCCCTCACGCGCTGGCCTGCACTCATGCTGAGCTGGCTCTTTATGGCCTCTTAGCCAGTAAATGATTGGCTGGTTCAATTCCGGGCTGCCTCTCTGTACAGATACACGCACATACACGCATGCAGACCCAGACGAAATCAAAGAAACACGCTTCCCAGGAACAAGTTTTGCCTTGTGCTGGCGTCATCAGTTCCTATTCATTGATTAACAATGCACATGGGGCCTCTGCCAATTTGCAGGGATCATGCATGATGTAGAATGAAAGCCTGAATACTTTGCCAAAGCCATTCAGCTGTGCTTCCTTGACCTTCAACATGTGCCTCTGGTTTACACCAGTTTGGAGGAGACTTTTTTAGATTTTTTTACTGTTTGATGGCAGTGACTGGGAGCCCCAGAGACAGACCAGCTCCCCATTGTACTAGTTATTGTATAAACCCCAAGCAGCAAGGTGAGTTCTGCCTCAGAGAGACTAAAGCATGTGGAACTTTTCACAAAAACATCCCTTTTCCCCACTGTGTCGTAAGTGTTTGAGTTAAATGTAGATTTGGGACTTACAAAGCAAACAAGTCCATGCTTAGATTATGAGTTTATTGAGGGAGGGACTGTCTATAACTCTGTCTCTGCACTGTGCCTCGGATAATGAGGGCCGCACTTTCTGTAAGGTCTATGCAGCACCCACAAGAATGCTGTTCCCAATCTCAGTTGATGCAGAACCTGGCAAAATGGGGTCTTCTATCTTGGTCTATGCAGTGCCTGGCACAAGGGGCGTGTGCATGCGTGCGTGTGCGATCTTGACAGGTTCTTAAATTGTATAACACAATTGTACAATACTAGTG